AACATTGTTCTCCAGGATACCCCAAAGAGCCAGGGACGGGTGCTGAGTAATCAGTGTGGCTCCCTCCAGAACTTTTCTAGTCCTGCTCAGCCTTGTAGGGCCTAAACTGGGTTACATATGGTGCAGTCAAGCTGATGTCTTTATACTGCTTTTGTCAACTCTTCAGCTCAAGAAAAAACACAGTAGCTCAGTGTCAGCATGTCAAGAATGGCTGGAGCTTGAATTGCTGACCCGTGAGACTCATAGTGCCGGGAGTAGCTGGTGCAGTGATGCCCGTGGAGATTCTGCTGTGCTGACCTTGGAGGCTGTTCTAGCATGCAACCAGTTCTGGGCCTCTACTTTTAAGGCAGTGTTATTCTGACACCCATGTCAGCAGTACCTTGATAACCATGCAAATTGAAAATGCACCTGAATACAAATTGAAAGTGTAGCCTTCTTCCAGGTGTTTCTGGGTTGAATTCAGGTTGCAGGGTGCCACTTGGTCATCTTCGATCTGTAGTTCCTCCTAGCCAAATTCTTCTGTTGCTATGGTGTGATAAATTTAGCTGGTTTTGCCACCTTGTCTTAAATAATTTCCAAAGTTCTACAGATGATACTACCATTACTTCTTTCCATTACTTCTTGCTTGCTGATACCAGAATGTTCAAAAACCCCCAATGTTCTGTTCAGTTTATCAGTGTTACAGCAAAGTTTGGGTTGAAATTCCAGGAGACAGATGGTTGAAGATCCAAAGGATTCAGTTTCAAGTTGTTCCATTTTCCTTGCATGTCCCCATTCAGCTGCATTTTTTAAGGAGTATATCCAAACCAATAAATTACCATCTTTCACTTTGTGTCTCACGAATTTGGAAGAACAGGACCTATTCTTCACCCCGAAGGGAAGAAGGGGCTGCAGACCATAATTAGATCTAGTCAAAGCTTTTATTCATGGTTTCAAATTCTGGGGTAGTGGAATTTTGGTTTAGAGTTTGTTCTACAGCTTTTTGCTTGTGAGATATTTTGTCAAAAAGTAAGACTGCTTTGTGGCTTATCTACAGCCTGACCATGACTGGTGCATCTTGGGACATTTGCCTAAGCAGGCACAGTTGTGCTCTCTTTGATGTAGAGACTGCAGAAAAGGATGCTCTAGGCCAAAGACAGAGTTAGGCTAAACAAAAACCACTGAGTTCATAAAGGTAATCCCCACCAGATTTCAGTGATGAAGCTTGTAAGTGACACAACGAAGAATCAAACTGAAGTTTTTCAGATGCCTTCTGTATAGCCTCTTGTGCCTCACACTTGGCCAGAGTGAGGGTAGTTGAAACTGGTCTGTCTGTCCAAGAAGGAACGTGTGTCAAGCTGTTTCCATCCTGCACGAACTTCTGTCCTTGTTGCACTGACATGCAGGAATAGCTGTGTCACATTCTCCTCCATTTGGAGAATAATAATATGTTCCTGTATTCAAATGTGAAAGTATGTTTGACAAGCTGTGGATTAAAAGGGAATGTTCAGTCCCTGAATCTCTCCTTTACATCATCTTGGAGCAATATAATGACAGGAAAGGCAGTTCTCTGTGGTTTTCGGTTCACTGCTGGGTTTGTATGAGAAGGTGACATGTCCTTGGAGAACTGTGCATATATAGTGTGCAATGACTATGGTGGTTCTGGTAGTTTTTCCTTCTGTAAAGGCAATAGAGCATCTTCTTCGCTGCTGATGATTTTAAGCCCAGACACATGACAGTAAATTGATTTCCTGAGTCACTTTTTGCCTGTGTTTAGCAAGAGTTGAATCTATGTGAAAATGTGGTCTACTGGATCACTCTGTTCAGTATACTTCCAGAAGGATATTCCTTTTTCTGTGAGCCAGAGTGACTGTGTGGTGTGTCAGGAATTAGACTGGCTAGATTATAATTTGCCTTTGCAGTTATGCCACACACAAATAGGCAGTAATGTTTATCTAGTTGTTAAATTCACTGTAAGGGTGGGCAGAGGAAGAAAAAATCCATAGTCAACCCCCACCTGTCAAAAAAAAAGGGGGGGGGAGGTAGATAAAAGCTGACAGTAGCTTCTGAACTGCAGCTGAAATCTGTTGCCACGTACCAAAGAGGATGCACTTCTCTGAGAATTTTAATCTTGCTGAGAGTAGTTACACTTCTGTATTTAGTAGAAATCTACAACTTAAGTTTGAGAAAGAATGCAGCTCCTTTGTTTAAGATTCACAACTTTTTTTTTTCTTGCCTTCACCAGCACACTGAGGGCAGCACAACCCATTAAAAAAAAAAAAAAAAAAGAAAATTTAAAAAAAGGGAGTAACAAAATAACACAAACTATTCTAATGTACGATAATAAAACAAAATCTTAGGGAAAGTACATTCTTGTGAAATAAGTATGTGATTTGCCAACAAAAATCCTATGTCGGTTAGGCAGTGTGTGTTTCAAAAGTTGACATGGAGCCAGTTCAGTTTATTAGTATGTATATAATAAATAATACGATATTTGATGATGCAGAGTTGAGGTGTGGATCTTGGAGTGTTGCTGGTGTCTCTCCTGGGTGGGAGACTGGTGCAGGGAGGAGAGTCTTTGCTCCATCCTGTCGCCCTGGCCGGGTCCATGGAGAGCAGCCGTGGTAGCTGATGCCTGTAGAGGAAAAGGAAAGTGCAAATTCTCTCAGGCAAGTAGGGCTTGTTTTTAAAAGAACATGTTCAAAGATAAGCGTTATGAAAATAACTCGTTTACTGATAACTTTATCTACTTGGAAGATGAAAATTTAAGTGAAAAATAGACTTATCTGGGTAGCCTAACTCTTACCACTGGTGGTAGGAAGATTGATAACGCAGTTTGGGACTGACAAAGCAAGTGCTGTACTTATCACAGCAGACTTCTGTATTGTGTTGTCTTGAGATTTAGTGCAACAAATCAGATTAAACTCTCTAGAAATGCTATCTTAAGTGTGCTTTGCTGTGCAGCAGAGACTTTGGAAAAAAATACTGGTTGAGCAGCTTTTGATGCCTGTGCCTGAGTACAGGCTTTTTTTCAAGGAGTTGGATAGAAAGAAGTAGTAATTCTGGAAGGTGTAGGGACCACGCACAGTACCGTGACTGTGTACGAGTGCAGCGAAGTGCCTTTGGGACGTGTTTTAGCCCATTGTCAACCATTCCCGAACTGGAAAGCTCCCTCCAGTTGTAGACTGAAGCAGAATTAGTGGACTCTGAAGCACCAGGGAGGCTGAGGATGTGGTAGAGCTTTTTCAAATCCGCCGTGTTCGGCTGCAGGTCCTGGGTGGACCGGTGGCTGCGGTGGCCTGCTGCGCCTGGAAGCCCAAATAGGACTGCATCGCCCCATGGGCTTATCCAGTGCACCCCACTGCCAGGGGATATGTGTTAGGCTCATAGGGCATTTGTTCACTTATTTCTTTCTCTGTACTTAAAAACCTTTAAGCTTAGTGCTAAAGAAAAATACCATTGTCTAATAGTATGACTGGAACGAAAGATGAATAGCGAATTAGCCTTGAGCGAACTGTCAATCTGACTTTGATAGCCCATCACTTAAAAGGTCCTTTTATGTTTATGAAAAAGCATGATGTCAAAGCCAGAGGAAAAAAAATAATACCAATAATTAGGGCTAAACTTGCATAGCTTCCAAGAAGAGCCCCTGTGTGAACTGTTTGTTTCTCTACATGCGTGGCTAATTAGTGTAGGTTGCTATAAGTCTGAGCAGTGACATTCAAGTTTCTTCTGCTGTTTTGGAGTAGCTTGTTTATGGTGCTTCCATATGTGAATCCTTCAAACTGGAATAGTAAAGAGCAAAGGATACTGCAGTCTCTTCTCTTGCAACCTATAAGCAGTATGCTGGAAATGCTTGAGTATAATCATTATCAGGTGAGTTGTTATTGCAGACTTATTTTAAAACCTGTTGTTAAGAAGGCTTACACTATACAGGAAAACCTTTTCCTCTGATACCTAGTATACTTTGACTAATTTCTTCCACAAAAATAAGTGGGGGACACACATGGTCATTTGTGACAGTAAAAGTCACTTTAATGGAACTGTTCTAAAACTAAAAATCTTCCCAGAGCATTATTATATTTTGTTTTGTTTTCTGCCTTCTGATAAAAACACTAATGATCAAAGAAAGGTGACAAAGAGTTTCCAGGATATGGTGAAAATTTTGTATGGAAAAAATTGTCTTCTCTTGCTTATTTAGGGTGCGTGAGAATAGTTTGGTATGAAGTTTTTCATATTTTGTATATAAAAAAATTCTAAGTACTGAAAAACTTATCTTAAATGCAAAAATAGCTGTTGCTGAGGACAGTGATTGATCTGAACAGAAACACTTCTTTTCTTGCATCTTATTTGCATAATGTGTTTATAAACAGGCTGTCTTATTTGTATATGATTTAGGCCATATATCTGAGATATAAATAATTTGTAGGCAAAAAAATTATATATTTCTTTTTTTTTTAACCAATGTGTTACTTTAAAAAAAAAAAAAAACAAACAAAAACTAAAAAGCCAACAACAAAACTTTTGATCACACTGTTACTTGACATCCGATAAAGGATAGCAATCTATACTACTTGGTTTTAATTGGTAGCTACTAACAAGTAAAATGTGTCCTGCAACTTATTTCTCCATTTTAGTGAAAACTTTATTTTTATTTTAGTTTAGTGAAAACTAAATGTCACGTAGCCGCAGGTCTGAATGCAGAGCCGTCTTTATCTGTATAAACTGGAAAACCTGAGCATTGGTCTTCAGTGAGAAACCTCATGTTGTAGAAAAACAAGTGGAACTTCTTGGTTTACAGTTAACAAGTCAGTGACTGAAACACCAGCTCATAAACTGATTTCTTGCCACTGAGTGTGAATTAGTGAAGCGCCATTGACTTTCTTGGGGCTGCACGGGTTTGTACTTTAAGTCAAATGCTTAGCTGGTGTATATGTCACAAATGTACAACTCAAATCGATAGCACATATAGCGATGTTGTAAAACTATAATAAAGCACTTTTAAAAATTGTGTCATACAGGTGCAGACTCACCTTGAGAATCCAACCAAGTACCACATTCAGCAAGCCCAGCGGCAGCAGGTAAAGCAGTACCTCTCTACCACTCTAGCAAATAAACATGCCAACCAAGCCCTGAGCTTGCCATGTCCAAACCAGCCCGGTGACCATGTCATGCCGCCTGGAACTGGGAGCAGCGCACCCAACAGCCCAATGGCTATGCTTACCCTTAACTCCAACTGTGAGAAAGAGGTAATACGTTCTCGCTGTGCATATTCTTCAGTAAAATGGAATTGCAGTCTGCTTGCTTTCTGATTTAAACCGTATTTGCTCATTGTTAAGAAGAGATTTCTATCTTCTTTTCTGAACTGCTCACTTTGAAAATGCAACTACTACCTCTGTGTCTGCCTGATGAATATATATTTGCATAGAACATTTTGGAAAAAAAAAACTGTGTCCCTTTAACTTCCCCTTTTTTGAACTATTTTAACTAGTTTACGCTTGTTAAAACTACTCCCCCCCCCCCCTTCCTCTTTGCTTGATGCACGCAATGAATAATTGACCTTTGGAGAATACAAAGCAGTTTTGTAAGCTGTAGCTTTCTGGAATAATGTTATTTATGGCTCATTTGTGTAGAAAGAGCAAAGAGCATAGCAAAAATAACTGAAAAACAAAGCTTTCTGAGATATTTTGGATAGTTTTACAGTAAGTCTTGAGCAAGTCTCTTGCTTAGCTGGAAGGCCAGATTACCCCAGCTAATATATCCTAAAATGTTACTGATGGCTGTTTCGTGATAAGATCAGTGCTGCAAATATAAGATTTTACTAGCCTATGCCTAGAAGTCCTTCGCAACCTTGTCTTAATATTTGCTGGCAAAAACGTAGTTGGATGTTACATGTCTGCTCAGGTGCTGAAGGAAGATGATTTGAAAGATGTTAACAAAGTATAAGAATCATGTCAATATTTTTGTAATGTGACAAATGAGAGACAATTGTAGAGCTCCTTGTGTCCCCTCATCCTCCCCCCTTAAGCCTTTGTGCCAGATTTTTAATACGGATGCACTGTGAGGAAAAAGTTGTACCAATTTGAGAAACAGTTATTGCAGAACATGCTTTGCACATGCAAGATAAAATACTTGTGCTCCATAGCTTCAAAAGAAATGAAAATCAAATAGTTACATCCTATCATCCCAGTTGTAACCAAATATTTTTTTTTTTTCCTCAAGATACTTATAGCTTCACTTCGCTGTGTCATCAGGCACATGTGTGCATGAAACTGTTTCAGTTGTGCTCTTTTTGGGACTGAGACTGCCATGAACTCAGATCCATGCTTTGCCTTTTTTTTTTTTTTTCTTTTTTTTCCCCTTCTTTTTTTTTCCTTTTTATTTCTGCAGGGATTTTATAAATTTGAAGAGCAAAGCAGGGTTGAGAGTGAGTGCCCGGCTCTGAATACACACTCACGAGCATCATGCATGCAGGTACTGGATGACACAGGAGTTGGAGCACAGGTCCCCTTTCTAATGAGCATGTTTCTTTGAAGTTATGTTGAAGAATAAACTTGCCCCACAGTGTCTTTAGGAAGATGAATATAAGATGTATTTAAGGAACAAAACAACAAGGTTGTTTATTAGCATTGATGTCAAAAATGTATTAAGACATCTGGAGAGTGCTAGTGCTTTTCTAGCACTGCAGTGCTATAGCAGAAGGATATAGCAGAAGTTTTCCCAAAACTGCATGTATGTGTTCTTGTCCTGATAGTTTCTAAGACATTTCTATGCAGATCACATTTGCATTTAAAAAAAATTATGAGAAGGCTTTAATCCATCTGTGGTAATTCATCCTCAGTAGTCATCCTTCTACTTACTTATTTTTTTAAAACTAAGGGGTTTTTATTTCTAGTAACAAGACTTCAGCTACGGGCTGTAACTGTTAGTTCTTTTCTTGCCCTCACTTCCAGTCACTGTAATTCGTTCTGATCACACTTTCTTCAGCTGATACAAATTCCATACGCTACTATTTCTACCATCAACCTTACATATTAATTTTGTAGATGACTGTCATTTAAGCTTCATTTTTATAGTGAGCAAAATGGAAGTAGTCAATCCTGCAGCAAGGTTTGGAGCACCTGTGTGGGTGCTTTGGAGGGTTCTGTTTCTCCTGACCATGCAGGAGCTTACGGAGGCACCTTCCAGCCCAGCCCCAGAAAGAAGATGGCTTGCAGCACCTAAAATCATCGTCGAGCTGCTCTTGCATGGTGCTTCCTGGGAGGGCGTGTGAGGGACGTGAATCCAACGGATTCTGTTGTCGAGGGTGGGCAGCCTGTCACCCAGCAGCAAGCCTTTGTTCCCTCTGCTTCCCCTGCAGGAGTCAGGAGCTTGGACTTTACTGTCCATACACAAATTTTGGCCCCAGAACAAGAGGGAGGAGGTGGAGGGTGGTCAGGCAGTGCTGTGGGGGGGAGAGGCGTTCACGTCGTTAGCGGAGCTCCTGTTATGGGGAGCTACCTCCTCGTCTGCTGTGGGAGGAACGGTGTGTCCGTGGGCAGCTCGGTCAGGGTAGCTGCTGGTGGGAGGAGTGGGTTAGACCATGAAGCCTCAGCTTTGTGGTGACCTGACTGTCCTGGCTGAAAAGTGGGGAGTCAGGGCTGAGGGCCTGGATTTGGAGTGTGGCAGAACTGCACAGGAGCCTCTGCGTGGGCCCGTGCTGCAGAGAGCCAGTGTGTGGCTGGAGTGCTTTGTCAGGCCTCTGTATCCTATTGCTTTTGATAACTGTTTCGTTTTCCTTTGTCCACCTTTTCTGCTGCAGATGGATGATGTGATTGATGATATAATTAGTCTGGAGTCCAGTTACAATGAAGAAATCCTTGGCTTGATGGACCCAGCCCTGCAAATGGCGAATACGGTACAATGGTCCTTTCCTTCTGGTTTCCCTGTTAAATCTAATTGTATTTCCTTGAGAGAATGCAAAACCATAGCGTTATTTTTTTTTCCAAGCAATTAAGTAGTTATTGTATTGTCCCACAGAGTGTAATTAGTTTTTCTTTGAAGAGCTTAAGGTATACAGTTGCAATGAAAAAGATGAATATAAAAATGCAAGCTGGAGTCAGGTTGAGGGAATACAAAGGGCAATTTTGCTTTTCTCATTTCAATATCAAGTTAGTCCATGAGAGGATTTTAACAGAGGAGTGAAGTGGGCCAACAGGAGTGAGCTTATACCCATCGATATTAAAAATCACCATGGACATTATACTTGGTTTCAGAAAACCTAGAAGGAACCTCCGGCACTCCAGGTTCCTGTATCTTGTCATGTTCAAATAAGAAATTGTACACCACGCTTAAGCATGTGTTAGCATCCCTGTCCAGAGACACTCAGTCTGTCTGTTAGCTCTAACATCACAGCTTTAGCTTAATCTGATATTAAATGGAGATAAGTCCCTAGCTAGATGACAGCAAAGATGTTGCAAAATTTAGGGAGAGAAAGAAAAATTTAAAAGCCTACCTTCAAAACAAACAAAGGGGAAGGAATTAAGAAGCTTAAAAACTGAATGGGGGAAAGGGATGTAGGAAGCCTGTGACAAGACAAGAACACCGAGGTGTGAAAGTCAGAGAGTGAGGGCAGGAGTAGGTTACCTCCAAATTGTTGTTTCTATTTTCTGGTTCACGTTGCTGTAAGCATTAATATAATTGTACTTCTGGCATAATCTTATTTTGATCTTTTGTGGAGGGTAGCTCCAGTGAATTTTTTGCTGTAGGCTTAAGTGCTGTTAGATCTGGCTGAGTAGATGTCTGCCAGGGCTGGCGTCTGTTTCTTTTTTATCTAGTGCCAAAATTTACAGCTTACCACAAAGCGTTGATTTGGTAGCACAGGTTTACATTTGCTGACAGTACTTGTCTGATGTCATATTAAGCTAGTCCTACGCTCCCACAGATTCCCACAGCCCTCCCGGAGACGTGGTGTGTGCTACAGGAAACAGCCCACCAGCATCCCTTGCTAAGTAGTGCCCTTTGAGTAAACAGAGAAATAACTGCAGAGTCCTATTGGAAGGGATGAGTTTTTCTTGAATCTAAGATGACTTGAAAACTGCATCTGTCCTGGAATTTGAGAGGAAAACTTAAAAACCTGTGAAAAAGATGTTTTTCAAGATAGTTGCTTGTTTTTTGTTTTGTTTTGTTTTAATTGAGGGACCAGGTGGTTCTGGGGTCCTTCCTCTGAAGTTCCATTGGATTGGGATCCATTAAATTAGAGGGGACTTGGGTTTCTTTGTGCTTTTCTTCCTCTCTTATTTCACAGGGGTACCAGCAGTAGCTCTTTGCTCCCAGGCGAGGACATAATAGTATTCTGCACTCCTGTGGTTCAAGGAGTCCATGTAGTCAATATTTAGGGTAGTCTGCAACCCTCCTGCTTACTGCATGACAACAAGCCTTGTAAAGACCACCTGGTCAACATTTGCTGTGAAATTTCAGGAATTGCCCACTGTATGTGGTGAAGTCTGTAAAATAAGGATATGAAATTGTAGAATTAAGACTTGTTTACTAATACACTTAAATTGCTGGAGGCAAAAGGCATATTTCAGTCTCTGAATTAATCTGGTACCAATTTTGAAGAGGTGGAAATTTGAGCCATGTTTCCCAGCAATTGATTTGAGTAAAATGAACCTGATGTAACAGACACTTTTCTTTTGGAACAGGATTTAGTTCTTAAAACACACAGCATTAGACTAATAAGGAATTAATGTCTGTAGACTGATGTAAGCAGAGGTGGAAGAAATCAAGAGAGGAAATGGTCTCTAAAGAGATGCAACCTATAAATAGCAGTGTTGAGACCATGACAAAGGCTGCTGTTGTTCCATAACCAACAAAGAACAAAACGAGCATTTTGTTACATTTGGTAACAGTACTTAATTGATAATCAAAGTCAGAGATTTCTGTGTAGAGCAAGCTGAGGGAAGTTTCCAAGTACCTCTTAATTGAAAAGGGCTCACTGCAATCAACTGCTTGTGGAAGTGTTTGTAAACTTTGGTATTGGGTCACAAGTTAATTGACTTTGCTTCTGTGCTGAAAGGTATCACAAAATGGTCAGTAGTTTTCTGCATAGATATGACCTAGTAATTGAATTGCTAGGAACTGTGTAAAATACTCTTGTATGACAAGTTGGAATTACAACTAATTCATCCAACTAATCAATTCTAGCAAGAGTCTGATATGGAAAGCCGTGTGAAAATGTGCAGCTCCACTTCTAAATGTGACTTTCCTGTGGAAGTTAAACTCTAGAAGTAGAGAGGAGTCTTATTTCAGGGCCTGTTGCTGGAGCGTGTGCTTGTAGGTAAGGGAACAACACAATGTGTTGTAAGCTGAAAGAGCTGGGGAACAGAATCCATTCCCGAGTGTACTGATACCTTAGAAACAGCCTTGTTGATCCCACAGCTGATGCCTCAGTGATTTTTATACAGAGCCTGAATGACCTGAATGTAGGTGCTTGTTTTGTTGGAGTAGTGGAGGAGAAAGGAAGGCCTCAGACTCCCCTGAATGTACACAATGATGAATCTTCAGTAATAATTACCATACTTGAAATTTCTGTTATAAAAGCAGTTATTAAAAAAAAAAAAAAAAAGGGAAAAAAAAAAAAAGGCAGATGCAAAGTGATAGGAAGGCTGAAATTTGTTTTGCTTGGTATGTTTGTGCACCGTGTGAAGCCAAGGCCTAAAAATATGAAATCTCACAAACGAAGGCATTTTAGATCATGCTACTTCAATGAGATAACAAGCTAAGCCTGACATAAGCCATTCTTCCTTTGTTTACTTTTTGGGAGAGTAAAAGTGGATGATCAGAATGATGCTGTATTTAAATTTCTTCTTAGCCAGAAGTAGCTAAGAAAGCCTTAAGGAAGGCATATTTAGGTTGGAAACATGCTAGAGTTTGGAGAAGACAGAGAAGGAACCTCCTTAGCACCAGAAAATTCCATGTCTTTCTCAGCGTTTTGAGACTCCATCTTCCCAATGAAATGGCTCTGGGAGTTTTGAATGTTTTTCCATCTCTTTCTACTTGGGGAAAGGGATGAAAGGCTTGACTAACAGATTAGAGCTGAAATGTTTGCAAGTAATGTTTAATTCTTTCCTGTTTCTTCTAATAGGAAGCATTTGAAATAAATGCCTAGGTGTCGCTGCATTATGCCTATTATAAGCCCCTTCTGAGTTGTTTTTGGCCCCATTTCAGCCTAGAGGCTGCTTTTGTGTGTTCACAGCACTACTGGCTTGTCCCTCTCAAACCAATGCCCTCTGCATCGGGGTCCTCTCGCCTTGCCGGTTCCCTGAATTCTGCACTAGTGATGACTGGTTTAACTTTACAGGTCAACTAATTTTACTCCTCTGGAACCTGGAATATAATTGTGAATAGAGGATGTGCCTCAGTTTTAACTTACCTTTAACTGCAGGTATTTTAGCCATGTGAGATGAGCTGAAGTGTTGCATGCACCTTATATTTTTTTCATTTGAAAGGAACTGTATAAGGTTAGTCCCAAAGATGTGACTTGCAGCCATTCTGGAGAAGAGGCCTCTCAGAGACTCATACTGAGTGTGGACCATACATGTAGTCACACACATAGTAAAAAGTGAAAACTGAAGCTTTGACTGTGCAGTTCAGCTTGATGGGAAAAATAGTCAAAAAAAGAAGCTGGTCAGTCTCTTTGCTTATGGATCATTGATTTAATCTGAGACTGTTGGCATCTACCCCTATTGTAAATTTCTGTGATAAGCATCCATGTGTACCTTCAAACCTGCAACGTTTAGCAGCTGTGCAAATATCTTCCCTTATTTAGCTAATGCTGCATCAGCAGTGCTTTGCTTTGGTTGTTGCACAGCTCTTGGTTGGGTTCCTCTGGTGCCTGCAGCTTCTGCAGGACATTCAGCGGCTGCTGCCTGCATTACTGTCTTCTTTTGTGGTGATTGCTTACATAGGTCCTGTTTATTTACATGGAAATCTGGCACACAGTGTTGACACCTTTGGAGGAAAAAAAAAAAAAAAAAAAGACAAACTTGTAACAATCAGGGTCCATCTTGCAGTAAGGAAAGCAGCTTGGTGACCTTAGCTGTTCTCCATGTTTCATTATAACCTAGCTGCTTTACCCAGGCTTTGAGATGCTAGTTTCTAGATTTCTGAGGGGGGGGAAAAAAAAAATCTTTTTATTCCCCCAAATTCCTAATTAGATTTCACATGTCTGGTTTTGAACTTCAAGTCCCTGGGCTACAAACAAGGTCTTTGTGCTCTCCCCATGCTTAGGAGCATGAATAGAAAAAGCACATCCAAGTCAGAAGGGTGTATGACGCTATTGCTGTGCCTGTGTCATGGACGCATTTGTGGGGCCAAAAGCTACAAGGGTCAGCCTTGTAGAGCAGTGAGAGTGAGTGGTCACCCTGACATTAATGTGGGTAGGTCACAATTGGGACCATAATCTGTGAGGAACAGCTGTGACCTTATCTTTATTATAGATGTGCCTTTTTAAAAATTTTATTTTATTTTCCTTTTTCTTTTTTTTTTTTTCTTTTTTTTTTTTTTATATTGGATTCAAGAACTAAGGGGAGGGCAAGGAATTCTAAAGCTGAATCTTGGTGAGAATTCATTTACATTTTTCTTCTGTCACTTAAAGACTGAGTCAGGGGACTTTGTTGCTGGCCACTGTCTGTTCAAGACAATTATCAGCATGGTTTATAGCTAGTAGTATTTTAATGGATACGTATCATCTTTGCTTCTTATGGTAGCTCCAAATGGCAGAGAAATTTTCTTAGGTCTCGGACTGACAAGGACCATCAGTAGGAGATTAATAGTCCAGGCTGTGGCTCACTCCATTGTATTCAACAGCATTATTTACATGGGTGTAAAGTTAATACTCTAATCTCTGCAGGATCAGTGCCTTGGAGGGATTGGTTTTCTTTGCAGCAACGATGATAAGAAGTATTTGCCACCTAGATAAGATATCAAAGTGGTTTATACCTGTCTTTTCAAAACCTAGTTTGAAAACAAAAGAGAGATGGGTAAAATAATCCACTTGAGATAAACGTAAGCTTTAAATAAGTTTCAATTTAAAGGGATATCTTTGATAAGTCTTGTTGGAATACTGTGCTATTTCTGTATAAATCTCCTGGCTTTAAACATGCCTAAATAAGAATAGCAGAATGAACAAGTAATTGAGGAAGCTGAATGTAAAAATAATCCTCCTCCTGCTGATGCATGTTCTTGTTATGTAAGGCGAAAAACAAGTTAAAGTAAACTTAAATGTTTTCTGTGTAGGTAGCTTTCAAATCACATGAAGAATGTGATTGATTAATACAGTGTTCTTCTTCAATCATGTGACAACTTGCTAAGTACTTTTACTCATGTACTCTTGGTAAAAGCAGGGCTTCCTCTGGAGGCTCTTTCAGACGTTTTGAGTAAGAGAAGTGATGGGGGTACAGATTGAATAATTTCACTGAAAAATAAGGAGCAACAATACAGCAATATTGTCAGCATGTTACTTCTTCTGCATAGTCTGTCTGCATATTCTTGAGGAGAGAGAGGACAGAATTTCCCCAATGTAGGTATTTTATTCCTCATGCCTGTGCGTATCTGTGACTTTTGCTGACCTTCCTGCACGCTCTGTTTGCACATAGAAAAGAGCACAGATTTCTTAGCAGATCCTAACTCTGTTCTTCTGTACAAAGCCTTTCATAAGGGCAAAGCAAATGATCTTTTTCCTTGTTTATCTTTTCCAGTTGCCTGTGTCTGGCAATTTGATTGACCTTTATGGCAACCAAAGCATGCCTCCTCCAGGACTAAACATCAGCAACTCATGTCCAGCTAATCTTCCTAATATAAAAAGGGAGCTCACAGGTAAATATGTTTAAAATACCACCTTGGAGCAACAGTATAATTGGTTTGAATTCAGGTGATATTGGACATAATTTCAGTAATGAGAAAGAAACTGTGGATGAATAGTTACTTTTTGCTTTGCAGACCATTTTTTAGCAGACATATTAGCCAGCAATGCGGTTGTGTTCACGTGTGGGCATGTGTGTGTTCACGGTGACAAGTGATGATCAAGTCCCTGGTTGTTATAATCAAAACTGCACCTTGAAAACATTGTGTCACAGGAAGCTTCTAGGCATCTCCTGCAGAGCTGTTTTCTAGTTTGGGCTTGTTGTTTGCTTCATCAACACTGAACATTAACAACTTCACATCTGGAGTCTCTGTGGGATTTGTGTCCAGGAATGCTACATGTTGAGGCTGTACTCTAGTAGGGGGAGGGTAGAAATGAACAAATAACCTGTTGTAGTATGAAACCTGGACACCTAGATCCTATCAAGTGTAAAATTCAGCATTCAAGAGAGAGAATACGCATCTCCTAAATTCAGATGAGATTGAGGCATCCTGCACATTTCTTGTCCTGTGGGTTCTTCCAGCAGCTCTCTGAATAAGCCGTGGGAGGCAGGGGGAGGGAAGGGAGACAATAAAAGCTTCTTTCCTCAGGTGCGTGTGTATAGAAGCTAAGTAGTCTGAAGGAAGAAATAAGAAATTTTGTATTCTCAGGCATGTTTTGTTTTTGCTGTTCTGCTTCACTTAAAAGGATATAGCCACACATAGGGTGCAGTATTCAAGGCAGGGTTGTCTGCAGGATGAACAAATAGAGATCCATTCTAGAACTGATGACAGAATCATCTTAATACCCAGAAATGGCTGTTCTTAAGCCCAAGAGGGAGTCATACTGTATGCAGTGTGGTACAGGCATAGTTTCTTTCTTGTCTGTCTGTCATCTTTCTGGGTCTCTGTTGTGAAAACTCACAGGCTGACGCAGTTGCAAAGCAGGTTCTGGGCAGGAATTAGTTTAAGTAGAGCAGTTTTAATAGCCCAGGAGTCAGCTTCTCGGGAGGAAATGCCACATCTCTGAGCTGGTGGATATTTGCATTTATATGACTGCACAAAATTTGAGTTCATCACCAAATGAAGACACACAAGCTGCACGATGATTTGTGGCTGCTAGAAAAAAGAAAAGCTTGTACAGCAATGGAACTATGGCAAGAGGAGGTGGGAAGGAGATGAGAACTGTTCAAAAGTCCTGCATTACAGACAGTTTAATTGCCCCGGCTATAGAAAGGTAGAGGTGGCTATAGACTGCAAAGTAAACATCCAACTTTCAGACGTCCAGGCTGGTGGATTTACTGCAAATGGTTGTGTAAGACTTCAGGCAGAGAAGGCAGAAAGAGAGGGGAAATCAGGGAGTGAAGCAGTCTTATGGAAGTCCTCAGTACACCAACACAGCCCTGAACTAAGCTAAATGTCTATGTGCTACATAAGCCTGTACACAGAAACAATTTAGGTGAGGCTATTTCTGTTCAAAGTATATGCTAGCAGATTGCATTTAATTTAGGAGAGGTTTAGGAGTTAAACTCAGATTTAACAGCAGTCACTTTGACATTGATCTGGCCCAGCCTTTGTGCAGAAAGCACTATTGATGGTGTTTTCTGACAGCCAGTGATTTTAAAATCAACATGTTACTGCAGGCAGAAGTCTTTTGATTCTCCATTTCCTGATTTAGCTGTTTGAGCGAGGCTGGAGAGAGCTTGCAATATTTAAATGTAGCATTTGTCAGAAACTTTTCTTCATCCGACTGTAAAAATATCAAAATGATAAAGAATCCCCCAAAAACTCAAATCTGTTGTCCCAGCATCTGATATCGATGATGGTTGTGAGTTCTCAGCTGTAGTTACTGAAGCATGTAATGGGACTCCTGCTCACCCAGGAGTGCAGTTTCTATCAGTTTTGGCCTTACAAATCTCCTATCTGTTTCATAAGGCCATGTCAGATGAAGCCCAAATTTCATTAAGACTTGCAATGATCTTTCAAACTTTTTTGGGGATTCTTTAGAAAAGGATGTGTCTTGTTATACTCTGTATAATATTGGGCAGCTCTGTATTCTAAGTGATGAAGTAGTAAGCTTTCATTACTCCGAGGGAAACCCTTCTTACCTGTTACTTTGAATTGAGTGGGACCTAATCCATATTCCTTAAAAATAAAATAATACAGGAAATAAACTTGTTGGAGTCAGTGAGGGATTTTGTTTTCATAATGGAACGTGTGGTAATAGATCGTACACTCATTCCTCCTCACTGGCTTACTGTGAAACTAAGTAATGATTGCTGGTTTTGAGACTTAAATGCAACAGGTCAAGGATTAATAACCTCACCTTTTTCAAAAAATAAAAGGGGTAGAGCAAGCATGAAATTACTTAAAACTGCTTGAGAAATGTAAGATCAAACAAGAGCCGAAAATAACAAATTTAGTTATGCTTTTGCCTGAACTATTGCATGCTGAAGTCCAATAACAAATGTATGGAGCAAGGTTAAGAGCAGTTCCGAGTTGAGGAGACAAGTGATGTGTGGCATGGTCGTCATTATTTTTCTTTTTGCTTTTCTTAAAGCAAGGACCATTGTTTTCTAACATTATTACTAATAAAGGTGTTGAACTTTTAATCTTTTTTTTTTTTTTTTTCCATATGATGAGAACAGTTAGTGTAGCTGGAGAATACAGTATTTTTAATAGCTCACTTAAATTATACCTTGAGTCTTGTGGTGATGTGCATGCACGTGCCGCAAAAGGACGTAGCCTTAATTCCTCTGACTCCTGCCTGCTTCACATCCTGCACAGGTAGCAATGCAGTAAGCATGCTGTTCCTCTGGTTCAGCTTCTGTGTGGTACGTGAGCGTAAACGTAGGAGAAGGTATGTTGGATTTCAGCAGTTTGTTGTCCTCAAATACCTTGCTGAATCAGGGCCTCCGTGGGAAACATTTTCGTCACGGAAGTCAGAATGGGAAGTGTGGGCAGAGGTGCTCCGCAGGTGCAGGGGTGAAGTTCGACACCAGCGTTGTCTGTAGACAGGCACAGCTTGTTGTACAGACCCTTCTCACTTGCTGGAATGGGTGTAATAATTGGTTTGACAAATACCGGATTGGGCTTCCTGTGCAAATGTTTCACAGACTGAAACGTTGTGTTTGAATTCCTTTAATTCTAATTACTTCATTCACATGCACAGCATGTATTTTTCCTACAGAGTCAGAAGCGAGAGCGTTGGCTAAGGAGAGGCAAAAGAAAGACAATCACAACTTGAGTAAGTTTTGGTTCTTTGCATTTTGCACCAATTCTAGTAATGATTTTAGGTGTAAAGTGTTTGAATGCTGGTGTTTTAAATCTGAATGAGACGCTGCATGTAGTATATAGCACCACTTCATTATGTTATGCCCATAGATTAAATATCTCAGATTCTTGTAAAATGTGTGCTTAAATCTACTATGGAATTTTAAACTCTGTTTTTATTTTTTTTTTTTAATAAGCCAAGCGATTGGGTGCTTGTTACTGGTGGAATTACTGGGAACAACATTTGATCCAGTTGCTTTTGACAAATCCACCATGTCTTTAGCTGAATCTTTCAAATTAATCTAAAGTCTTAGATGTGTGGTGAGTTTGTGACTTTAAACGTGTGCGTTCTCAGTGTGGAAATTTTATAAATACCATTTTTGAAGGGAAAGCATATTTCCAAGTTGGAAAAAAAACATTTTAAAATCATGAGCACCTTATGACCTAAAAGATCTTTAAGTTATGCTTTTATACTTTATCTTACTATAAAAAATGAACTGTTTTGTGCCTTGCCCTATTAAGAAGCCTTTTCCATAGCATGAAGAGCTAATGCAGGAGAATTTGTATTTGACTTTTGGATCCTCAAAATGTTACATACATCTGGAAGAGTACATTTAAAAAAGAGATTTTATGTTTTGTTTCTTTTCCTGCTTTGGGATTTACATGAGCATCTGAATTTTTGTCTCTGATTTCGACTGTGATGCTTTTTCTCAGGAAAACATTTGCTTCTCAGTTGAGTCCTATGCTAACACAGCCATCCTGTTTTTTAGAGTCTCAGTTTAACTCTGGCACTCCAGCAGTCCCACATTTTTACAGTACAGGCAGAAATTCTGTCTTAGGGTGTCCATGTGTAGGGGAGCAAAATAAATTACTGTGTCAGTGGATTTTAAGCTTCATGCAAACGTTTCAAAAGCACTTAAAGAAATCTTTGATGAAACACTTTATCAGTTGTAATTAAGTGTGAGTATTACTTGTAACATTTGTGCTGTTTTTCCTAAAGTTGAACGAAGAAGAAGATTTAATATTAATGATCGTATAAAAGAACTAGGCACTTTGATACCCAAGTCAAATGACCCGTAAGTATAATGTGACCTATGGGAGGGAGGTGTTAAAAGAAAAATAAAACTTAGGGGAAAAAAAGAATTTACAAAAAAAATAAAAATCCTGGGTTTTCTTGTCTGATCTTTGCAATCTATGACTGTAGAAATGCTTCAAGATTCCGTTATATTTTTTTGAAGATTATTTGGGGGTTTATTTTTCTCTTTTGGAACTTGCTTAAGTTTATATTAATTCGATGATTTTTGTCACAAAACAGACACCATACTGTTGTGCAGCAGCTCAGCATCTGGCAGGACCCTGTGCTTTGGCATGGCAGGGGTTGATGCTAGGAGTGACTGCCGTACCAGAGGTGGAGTTGTCAGGATGTGAAACCTTACTCTAGTTTTGCTGCTTGCTGGCTGCCTGGCTGCTTGCCTTGCTAAAGGATTCTTTTAACTTATGAGACATCATAGCTTGGCAAGACAGAACCAATCCCTCTTTCTGTGAAAATGGAGGGCAGTTTATCTGAGAAGCCATCATATACCCCTCCCCTCCAAGAAAAAAGAAGAAAAATAAAGAGCATAGCTGTGTGTCCACTGATAATTTGCTACTGTTTGTAGTAATTTTCCCATAGTTCTTTTAGGTAATTTTACTGCTACTAACTTGCCTTAATGCTTTCCCCATCCTGATTCAATAGCAAGGAGAGCCCCTTGCTCTGGAGCTTGAGAGGCTCACGTAAATCTGAATCAATGCCCCATGATGCTTCTGGGGAGACTTTCCATTATTTTAAAGTAGTTGCTCATGGAGCAGCTCATAGCTACTCTTCAGAGAGGCTCTTTAGCTTCCTCTGAGGCAAGCAAGACAATATTGCACAGTATCAACTTACGGGACAGGTGGATCTTTCATAGAATCATAAGGGACCTTAAAGATTGTCCAGTTCCAACCCCCCAGCCCCGGGCAGGACCCCTTCCCCCAGCCCAGGGGGCTCCCAGCCCCGTCCAACCTGGCCTTGAACCCTTCCAGGGAGGGGGCAGCCACAGCTGCTCTGGGCACCCTGGGCCAACGCCTCACCCCCCACACGGGGAAGAATTTCTTCTTTACATCTAATCTGAATCTCTGCTCTTTCAGTTTCAAAGCCATCACCCCTTGTCCTACCACTATACTCCCTGATCAAGAGAGTCCCCCCTCACCTCTCCTGCCCCCCCTTTAAGCCCTGGGAGGCCGCTCGAAGGGCTCCCCGGAGCCTTCTCCTCTCCAGGCTGAACCCCCCAACTCTCTCAGCCCGGCCTCCCCGGGGAGCTGCTCCAGCCCACTGATCTTTGTGGCCCTATCTTTGGTCTGATAGTCTGCAGTGAACTTTTTTTTAATTTAAATAAAGGTGATATGGAAGAGAAGATGATGCAGGCAGCCTCTCTCTTTAAAGTGAGTGTGGGAGGAATAATGTGGGAGAGGCAATATGGGAGCCACATAGGCCCCTGACTGAAGAACCATCGCCCCTAGGTTGCAATGTGGTGTTTGTATTTTATCCAGAGTTTTAAGTTGAAAGCACTTGAATATGCTGCTGCATTAGGCTCTTCTCTTCCTACTGTAACACAGCTGTGATACAGTGCTACCAGGACTATTGTTTGCTGCTTCTTGAGAGCTAAAGGGCCTCAGGTCTTTCTCTCTCAGAAGCACCACGTCATATATGGGCCTTTTAATTCCCCAGCTGACATCAGGTATCACCCAGATAGCAAGCCCTGTGATGTTTGAGAAGAGTCTTGTGGGGTTTTGTTGTTGTTGTTGTCTTGCAGCCTTGCCATAAGGCAACGAAAGGAGACCCTGGTCTTCAGTCGCCCTGCACAGTGCTGGTCCCAAACTGTGCAGAAGGCAGGGAGTTGGCCTCGGGGAGCCCAGGGGGCTGCAGGGCAGCTCTGGGGCTGTGTGCCCCTTGGCCGGGCTGGGGCTGCCCTCCGGCCCCCTCTAGGGCATTTCAAATGCTTTCTGTATTCATAAGCCTGTAGTAAATGTTAGCTGGGTGTTACGTATATATGAGGTGTAATCATAGATGCTGATGTGAAGGTAATGACTATAAAATAAAGCTTCCCTGCAAGCCTTAACTTTTCCTTTTGTTTCAATTTCAAAGGGATATGCGCTGGAATAAGGGAACTATTCTAAAAGCATCAGTGGACTACATCCGTAAGCTGCAGAGAGAGCAGCAACGCACAAAGGAGCTTGAGAACAGACAGAAGAAGTTGGAACATGCCAACAGGCACCTGCTGCTCCGAATACAGGTTTGCTGAAAAATAAGCTGCAAATGCTCTTGATGTTGCAGTGTGTGACTGCAAATAATGGTAACTGAAGTGTGTTTGTAGGGACGTGGGTTAGAAGGATCAACTGTCTTAATTAATGATGAACAATGCTGAGCTAATTTTTCCAGAAAAAAAAAAGCAGGCTACATTAATTAAAAAAAAGGTCAAATAAAATCCCAGTAGTCTAGTAAAGCACTTATGGCCGGTGTATTTTTGTTCTACCGTGGCCAACATAAGTTGCAAACTATACTATGAAAAAGATTTATATGGTATTACTTTTTCTGGGTGCCAGGCCTAAGGAGTTGGGACTTCATATATCATTTATTTGCCAATAGTGATGAAATTCAGTTCAGCTGTTTGGCAGTGTGCTCATTTTAGTTGTTGTCTTTGGGGACTTCTTTTGACCTGTAGCTTTAGTGCTTGTTTTCTTTTCTTCTGAAGCAGCTTTGGACGAATGGTAATAGATGAAATATTCTTGTTTTGCTTGTGGGTTTTCTAAAGTATGTGAGGGGACTGATCTAGGCCTTATCTGTCAGAGAACTCTTCAGGTTAGTCTCTCCTACATATGATCCCTTATGTCTTCTCTCAATCAACCTCTCTGTGATGCTCTGCAGGAATCTGTCATCTGCTTTCTGGTGGAGGGTAAACACTGCTGAGAGGACAAAATGGGCAGGGAGGGGTGTATTGGTGACAGACATTGCAGCACTGTATCTTGAGTTCCCTGTGAGTAACTTGGGGACTGGCAACTGTATTTAATGTTGAGACTGCTCTGGCTTCTCTGAGAGCAGTTGCAGAGAAGCACATGTAACATGAGGGCTCCGAGAGTTGTTGCAGCAAGACAGGCAAGACCTGTGGATGTTGAGCTGCTTTTTTTTTTTTTTTTTTTTTTGTCTGAGGACCTACAGTTGTTTGTCTTCCTTGTTCATTGAAGTCTCTAGGACTGTAAAACAGTTCTCCTTTTCAACACTGAAGAGCAGTAGGTGTCATGAGTATGTTTTCTTCATGGGTTGTTGCCTTGTTAGATTCACTCAGGTTCCCAATAGCCTCTATTACACTGAGATTTAGGAGTAAGGACTCTGTTTCTCTAATTCCTTTGCCTTCACCACAAGATAGATAGGAAACCTTAGCCTTGCAGCCTACACAGCTTTTGTTGTCAACTCCGTTCTCCAGGTGGGCAAAGATAGCTGGATGTCCACCCCTCTCCATAAAAGGGTAATTAAAGCAGTATATCTAGAATTGGGTGTAAGAACACCTAACACAGAGAGGGTGCGGACTGCAGAGTGCCAGCCTGGCTGCACGGCTAATCCACAAAGTGGATAATGAAGCTAGAAATACCTGAGAGTCAAGTGTGGAAGTAAACAGCTTTAAAATAGAATGGGTTGGGTTGAGCTTCGGCTCAGTTTTTGTACTTTGTTGAGCGATCTGTTTGCTAGAGTGAGACAGTAAAGATGTGCAACCCTTCTGCACAGCAACATTGAGCAGTGGTATTTTGAAGCTAAGTCAGATCACTTTTTAACCACCTTTCATCTTCTTTTGCATATCCATCTGCTCTGGCACCTGCAGTCAAAATAACATAAAATCCAGACCTTTGAATCATGGGCAATACCTCTGGCAATAAATAACCTGAAGTCTGTATTTTTCCCTTTTGGCGTTGATTCTGATTAAGCACAGAATAAGGAACTCAGGATTTTGGCATGTTAGCTGATGGAAGAGGTGCTTCCCTGTTCCACCTTCTCTGCTGATCTTGCAGCATGCCAATTACAAGCTTGTTGTCCTAGCTTGAAAATGGAAAAAGGTCTGTTAATCAACCTCAGTGACAGGGATATCCAGAAACAGTACAGTCACAACAGTGATTGTGATTGCCTAATACAGGGCATAAGTAGAAGCCAAACACGTCTCTTACTACAGCGTTTGAGAAGGGGCATTTCAGTGAATTCTTCTATTACCTGTCTTCAGTCAAGTGCATCTATATAATTAAATGCGAATTTGGAATTTAAACTTTTCATGAAGATTCGAAGAATCCTGGCTCTGTGTGAAGTCTAAGGCCCACCTGTGACTTGCCTATAATTTTTCAGTGCAGGAATATCGTTGCTCAGTTTTGCCTGACCTCTTTACTTCCACCTCTACCAGACTTGCAGAATGAGAAGTGTCCTTTCCAGTGTCTCAGCAGGAAATGACAAGCATCATAGAGACGTGCTGTGCCTTCACATATGACTTTTAAATAAGTACTAAGCATACACTTCTGCCATTTTTTTTTCTTTTTTTTTTTTTTTTCCCCCAACTTTTAAATGCTTTCCTCACCTGAACTGATGCCAGATTCGCCTACCATGGCACTGGTTTGAGGAGTGGCTCAAGGGGAAATGTGTCTTCTACAGGGTGATGGGTTTTGGCCCTGGTGTAAGTTCTGAGGAGGAGTGTCAAGGACCTGTGTGGGGTCACGTCCACCCACCTCTTGAAGAGACTGATGTTCAGGTGGAAATCTGCGGGGCAGAAACGTGCAAGGTGCAAGCACTTGTCGCTGCTGGAAAGGGAGGAAACTGTTTGTTTCCAACAGAAGGAGTTGCGGTACACAAGAGCGTAAGATGACGGGTTTTGCTTTCAGTTTTGTTTTGTTTTTTTTTTTTAATTTGTCCCTTATCCTCCTTCACAGGAACTCGAGATGCAAGCTCGGGCACACGGACTGTCCCTTGTTCCATCTACAGGCCTTTGCTCCCCTGATATGGTCAACAGGGTCATCAAACAAGAGCCTGTGCTGGACAACTGCACCCAAGACATGATGCCGCACCACACAGACCTGTCCTGCACTACCACCCTCGATCTCACCGACGGCACCATCACCTTCAGTGACAACCTCGGCAGCGTGACTGAACCGACTGGCACTTACAGTGTTCCTGCAAAAATGGGATCCAAACTGGAAGATATCTTGATGGACGATACCCTCTCCCCCGTCGGGGTAACTGACCCACTACTTTCCTCTGTGTCTCCCGGAGCGTCGAAGACGAGTAGCAGGCGGAGCAGCGTGAGCATGGAGGACACCGATCATGCTTGTTAGCATACACTTGGCCCACCTCTCATAAACTGCTTTGTTTCTTGATCAGTAGATTAAATAATTTACCTTTTGTAGAATTTTTTTGATTTTTTTTTTTTTTTTCCCTTGTGCTTCATCAGTAGCCCAGTGTGTGTGCGTGTGTGTATATATTATATATATAGGAATTTTTTTAGAATTTTTGTGAAGAAACTTGTATATTCTATTTTAAAACTACCATTGCCTCCAAAATATTGTACAGCATATGTACAGGATCTGTGAACTGGATTCGCCAAGAACTTTGAACTGGTCAAATCTACTCAAAGCAATAGAATTACAAATGAAGAGTATGTTTCTACTGGGGGGGGAGGGGGGTATCATAGAATTGTAAATGCAACCTACTTACTTGGAAACAAAATGTAAAGTTAAAGAATGTAAAGAAACCAAAAAAAAAAAAAATGTCCAATTTGTAATTGTATTAATTTAATAGTGCTGCCTTAAAGATACAGTGTCCCTCAGAGTTGGTCTTTACATGACAAGTGTTTAGGGAAAAATGCCCACCCTATTCCACTCAGAATACAAACAAACAAAAAAAAAAAGGTGTTAAGACATCCTGATTGTGTTGATTGCGATATAAAATGCCGTTGCTGAAAATTGCAGGGAGATGCGAGTCTGTTTCTCAGAGTGCTGTTTAGTTTTACTCTGAGCTGATTTGGGTTTTCCTTTTGATCATGGTTCGAGTTTTTCTCTTAGATTTTTATTTTGTTTTGTAACACGCGTTGATGGCTTACCAACAGTAAACCAAGCAGGAACACTGTAAGTTGGTATACACTCTTTGGACAAAAAAAATTGATACATTTTATCAGCTGGGCACATTATGTTGTACATATCTAATTGGCTTTATTTTTTTTTTTTTAAATTGCATTGTACAGTTTATTTTGATTTGCATGGATTCCTTAGTTATCCTCAACTTTTTGTTTTAAATATATTTGTATTTCATTTGTAAGATTTTTGCCTCTTAATATTGCAACAATTTTTTGACATTTTTAAAACTCATTGGAGGTTTTCTGCGTACATTGTAAACACTTGAAAGGAAGCTTTTATGCAGGGTTCTGTGTTTTAAGAGAGATTTTGAGAATATTTTGTATATTACAGTCTCACTTTGAAAATGTTTTTAAACACATTTAAGGTAGAATACAAATTTAGATTAGGTAATAAAACAACTCTGTAGAGAAACTGAACTTACATATTTATTTTTAGTGATACAGAAAAAAAAGTAGTAATATGCTTGAAAACATACCTATGTAGTTAATATACCCGTTATAGTAATTTGTGTTTTATTTCAGCACTGGGGCTGACATATAAAAAAAACAAACAAACAAAAAAAAGAGTAAATTACTGTATCTGCAAATAACTGTTACTTGATAACAATGTTATTAATTTTTAACATGCAACAATGTTGTAAAAGTAGTTCGGTGCATTATCTACTCAAGTGTAGTCCTATGCAATACTGGTAGTTATACTTGTATTATATCAAGCCTAGGTGTTTTACAGAGGTGACCTGTGGTGTTACGAGCTAGACGGAGTGAATGAGTTTCTCACTAGCAGCCTACAGCTGACTCGCGGGCGGCAGGCAAGCGTATCTCGTTCAGAATGAAGTGCCTTAAACTCTAGTTGTAGTCTTCCTCGACTAGCACTGACTGAAGTGTGGCATGGGAGAGAGAGAGCCTTAGCGCCGTGGTTTATAGGACGCTGCAGTGTAGCGTGGTGCCTACGTAGAGAAAACAAGAGCTTCCCGTTCTCCTTTGTGCTACACTGGAAATTACATAGGATAAGTGAAGCGGTTAGTGACTTGAGTGCCAGTTTGGCAGGCTTTATAAGGAAACCTTGGTCGCAGCAGTGAGTGTCCAGAAACCAAATGTGAATTGGGTCGCGATGGCCAGCCGGGGGTGACGTCGGGAGTTCCCGGAGCCTGTGGGGCGGCTCGCTGGGCTTCCCCCCCCCCCCCCCCAAAAAAAAATAACGTTTCCGCAGGGAGCTCTGGAAGCAGCCCCTGCCCAGCCCCACTCCTGCTGGTGCTGATGGCCGGGGGGGGCTCGGCGGGACGCCGGGGGCTGCGCCGCTGTCGCCGGCTGAGCCCGGCCCTCTCCGTTTCTGCTTGAGCAGCGAGCTGTGCGTTAGTGTTGGTGCAACCACCTTTTTTTTTTTTAATTATTTTATTTTTTGCAGGAGGAGCTGGAGTTAGATTATAATGATGCCTCTCCCCCCCACCCCCAGACAGCTTTTTGGGAATGTGTCTTTCCTAGAGCAGCGAAGCTCCGGCCCAGGGCAGGACCCAGGATGCGCTGCAGACGCCGTGGTTCTCGCGCAGGGAAACGCTCCCCGTTCCCTGCAAGGCAGCTGCGCCGTCGTTAGCTCCGAGCTGAGTGTGTGGGTGCAGGCTTCTGGTGCTGCCGTTTGGTAACGGTGACAAGTAAAGAAAATCGGGGCTGCGAAATGCTTGTAGCTGTAACACAAGGCCGCGTTACCTTCCCCCAGTAAAATGGGACAGCCCTGCAGCATTGTACAACAAAATCGGGGGGTGCGCGCTTGAGTGTGGTAACTGAGAACCACTGAATATATTGAATAAGGCTTTAGGTTTGATGCCCATGCTGGGCATTCAGAAATTGAAGTCTAGACTGTGGTATATAAATATTTTTTTAAAGCTTACGTAAAACCACTGGTACTCGTTGACAGCCATGACTTCTGATTTTTGGCTACATGCTACACAGAGATGAATTAGGATTGAAGGAAAACTGTTACATCAAGAGCTGGATTTCTTGATAAAAGTCACTGTGGCCCCAGCAGCTGTGTTGTGTGCTCTCCGTACATCGTGTTGCTCTGGGGTAACATAGGACTCGGCTGTGCCCTGCTCACTCTTTGCCCCATGTTTCCTTAGGCTACAGCCCCCCTCTGAGTTTGCCCACCCTTTGAATGGACGCGTGCTGACACTGCAGTGGGGACACCTCTAGGAGACACGGACCTCCGGGCGGGTGCTAACTGGAGATGTCTTTGCCTGTTTGAGCACCCTGGAACGTGTGGCCGGGACCTTTTACAGGGGATCAATGGCAGATGACAGAGACAGCAATTACAGGCAGGGTTTGGCATGAACTAGGTGGAGTGAGATGGACAGAAGTTGTTGCCCAGTCTGATGAGGGTGTCTTGGGTGACACCGGGCTGGTGGTGGCTTCCCTGAGCGGGCAGGCGGGATGCCTACCAGTTCTCACTTTGCCAAAGCCATGCAGCAAGCAGGAATGTGCAGAGTACCGTGAAGTTCTTCCTTACTGCTTTTGGCCTACAAAGCAATATTTAACTCTTACAACCTGTAAAAGCAAAAAGAAGGTACATAAGGAAAGCACAAAGCACAAAATAATGCACTTACATTTATGTTGTTTGACATAAAATGCACTGGGGGGGAAGCGGATGTTGATAAAAGTATAAATACCTATATTTCTTGAAAAAGTGACATTAATTACTGCCTCTTGCTATGATGCTTGGTACTGTAATGTTGATATTCATCTGCTGTTGACTGCAGCAATAATTTGTGTATGGTCCATAGCACTGTAAATTATGGATCAATATTAATGTATCCAATGAAATAATTTGAACTGTTGTTCTTGATAGATGGATTAAAGCATTTGGTTTTTCACATACGTCTGTGTAAGCCACTCGTTTTCCATGTAAGTGAATCTTGTTTTTTCTGTGCATTTGAAGTCCCAGCAGTGCTCCTGTGTTTGTGACTTTGCAATGGATGTCTTCGTGTTCCTGACCTGCTGTCAGTCAGTAACTCTGGTTGTACCAGAGCTGTCTGGTTGTGTTTTGTCTTTTGGTTGAACGGAGGGGAACAGAGCTCCGGATCAGGCCCCACTTGGGCTTTGCAAATACACGCCAAAGTGGACAGACCCAAAGCTTATGGTCCAGCATAAGAAACTAAACAGGTGGACGTGGAAAAATGCCGTTGCCTCTCTCCCCTCCTGTGGGCTCTTGCCTTTTGCCTCCCTCCCTCCCTCTTTTCTGGAAGGGGTGTCTGCCGAAACCACGCCCGGCTGCATCACCCTTCGCCTCCCACCAGCCGCCCTGGGCCAGGCGTGGGCTCAGTGAGGCCTCGGGGTACCTACACCCCTTCGCCAAGCTGTCCCTCCTGCAAGCCACCTACCCCCCGCCGTCCTGTGCAGGAGCACCTCCTCACCTCCTCCGGCTGGCCTGCGCACGGAGAGATCCCCGTCCTCTCTCTGCTCACCCCCTGGGTCACTCCGCTCGCCCAACACGCAAACAGCTGCTCCTGGGTTGTGCCCGGAGCTGCAGCTCGTGCCGGTCAGGAATCAGTTGGGTTTTTCTTTTGTCTTCCCATCTTCATGATTTCTCCCTGTCTCTCTGTTGCTTTCATCCCTTCCGGTCATGTTCTGCAACTGTGCTCACAGCCTGGAGTCCTCGCCATCTCTGTGGACGTTGCTGCAGCAGCTGTGGTGACTAAATGTCTATTATCTCATGGGTCTTAAGCCCTGAAAACAAACAACAGAAGTTTGGAATTTGTCCTGTCTTAAAAATCTCATACGTTTTAGGAGTAGAAAAGACTTCATTTGGTTACAATTAAAAATTACTTGCTGCCCTGCATCGTTCCATTTAAAAACCAACCAAACAAAAAATGCTGGGTGAAGCTACCTGGCTCTGCTAGGACTACTGTAGAAAAGCCCTGCTCTCTTTTTGTGGAAGATATTTGTGTTAAAGATTGTGTTTCCAGCTATTTCCGCAGAAATTCAGTAGAGTATTAGAATGTGGTGGTGTAGTACTGCAATATGAAATCTATTTATCAGCAGCCTAGGATATAATTTCGAGTTTGAGTTTTTAGATGTATTTTGGCTTTCCTTTTGGTGGTCAGTTGTGCTAGCACTGCATTTAGGGAGTGATTTTCCTGCTTGTCAGTGGGAGCAGCTCCAGGTTTCGGCTGGGTTGCAGAGCTCAGGAGGAGCAGGGAGAAAACCCGTTGTGGGGATAATGGTTGTAAGCAGTTGCTCAGTGTGTGTCAGGACAGAGGTGGTAGCAGGTCTGGTGAGAAGCCTTTCAGTTCCTTTGGACGAGCCTGAAAAACTCTGTGCGGGGTAAGGAAGTGGATGTTAAAAATAAAGCCACCAACCCCTGGTGGAGTCTGGTTTGCTGGAAAAGCCCCGTGGCCGGGCTGCGGGAAGCTGCGTGGTGCAGCAGCGTGGCAGGACCTGCCACCGGGTCACCACATCGTGCTTCCCGCCCAAGGAGACACAGCTGGGAGCTCGGCAGCTCCCGGTGCCGGGCCAGGAGATGGTGATTGAGCTGCCTCTGCAGCGTCAGCAGCTGCTGCTCCTTTTGCTGTCACGTCTGGGGGAAGTCCCGGCACTGAATGGTTGTCATAACCTCTCTTTCTCCAGCTCCTTTGAAGTACACGTGCTTAAAATTGCAGGAGAATGGCTTGAAAAGGTGTCCCTGACTTATTAAGATCAGTAAGGCTTAATAGGATGCTGGCTCACAGGTTAAATGCACGTGCACTGAGCACTGCTGCTGCCTTAGCCTGTGATCTGAAGTGCATCCTTACTTGAAACTGTCCCATTTTAACTAAATTTTTGAGAGTGCCTCTCTTAACAGGCATGTGTTGAGGCTCATGTCTCCACCGAGGCCTGAATCTGCAGTTTCTCCCTTTTTATGACTTTCTCACCTAGGTCGCAAAGGAGTGAGTTGGCTTCTGTCAAACTCCAGCGGTGCTGAACGCCGGGTGGATGCTGTCGTTTGCGATTCCTCGGAGAGAAGGCAGCTCCCAGCCCCTCCTGCTGCCACTTTTACCCCATCCCTGCATTTCCCGGGGCTGGGATCACTGGGGCTGAGGCACCGTCGTGCTCTACGATCAAAGAGGGAAATGATTTCTGCAACAGACCTCTTCATTAACGCTGTCCAAGAGCTGTGCGAGGTAATGAGAAGGCTGCTACGGTCAGTAGGACGAGCCAGGGCATATAACACATCTAAATATTGATTACCACGGGGCTGATACACATGGTTGCGTATTGTGGATACTGTCTCAAAGGAGCTGTGGGAGGAATCCTTAACACCTGATGGGCAGGGGAGGCCGGGGGAGCTGCACTGGGTGTCTGGGGCAGCTTTGGGAGCTGGGCACAGCCCATCAGCAGCGGCCTCGCTGTAGCTGGTGGCAGGTAGGGCAGCTGCAATTTTTTGGGAGGGAGGACAAGCGCCTGGCTCCCTGCGGGAGCCGGGTGCTGGCAGGGAGGCACCGGGCCCCCGGGATGCGCTCGGGGCTCTGAGCAGGGTTTGGGAGATGGGGCACGCGGCTCTGGGGGCTCTTGTCTCCCTCAAATGCTTCGCCTGCTCTTTCGCCCTTCAGCAGGGCCTCGGTGCTCCCGCCGGCTTCCCTCCTTTCCGCCTTCCATAGCAGCAAGAGTCAGATGTTAATGGAAAAAAAAAAAAAAAAGCAGGGAACAGCACACTCTTGTGGGGCCACATCCTTTCCACCGGGCTGTGAGGCTTTAAGGAGGGCAAGGCTTCCCCGGGTGGGCGCAGACCCCGCCGCGGTGAAGGTTTCGGCTGCACCCCGGCGCTGGCGGAGGCGACATCCCCCCAGGGCGCGTCAGCTCCACCCCGGCGCAGGCCTGCGGACTCGCCTCGCTCCAAGGTGAGCTTGGATTTAATGCCGTCGCCTGCAAGTCGTTTTCTCGGAACGCAGCGTGTAATTTGTGCCGGCCGTAGCGGCTCCAGACGGACACGCGCAGAACGGCTGAGCACGCCCGGCGTCGTACGAGGAGGAGGGCAGCTGCTGTTACACCCAGCGCTGCTTGGTTAGCCACTTTAAACACATTTACTCAAAATCTCTTAGTGTCTTCGAGACCTCTGGCCTGATTCTCATTTTACATTGGGTACGTTGAGTGTTACTGTTGACTGGACATGAATGATAACTGCATAAATACTCCTTTATTAAAAAATATCAGAGCTTATAATCTTTTTTTTTTTTTTTTTTTTCCTGTCACAAAGCAGTTTCTAGAGCAGGTTGTTGCAATAGAAATTACTTCAAAACATGTAAATAATAAAATAATTTCTTGTTCTCTGACCACTAAAGTAATTTTATTAAAAGAAATCTATGAAGAATTTGCACTTCAGAGAACACAGCTGGGTCCCGTATGACTTTCCACTTTCTCTTTGGAGTAATATGTCACTGAAGCTAATAAGAAAATAAGCAGAGATTTTAGGTCTAATGATAATAGTTCCATTTGAAAAAGCAGGAATTGAATCAAAGCTGAATAAATGGAAAAGAATTAAATTCATGCTAGACATTAAAAAAAAAATGCACTGCAAACAATGAGGTGTATTTTAAAAAGTCGCTGCTTTATTAATAATACTTTCCACCTCCTTCCCTTGATCTTTCGATGACAAGCCTGGCAGAGGCACTCTTTATCAGACACTGAAGCAATTTAGTTGCTGTCATATGCCTTTCTTGATATACACGTATTAGTCACACAGCCGTTTTATGTTCTTTAGCATATTTTAGTATATAATTAAAAATGTGGCTGTCTGCTACTAAGCAACCAAGCATGTCAGGGGTTGATTGTATTCTGTCACCCACAGCAGAAGGGAGGGTAAAAAATAATAATCATGTGTTCACTTTTCAGTCTTAATTGTGCTCCAGCTCCTTTGATATGTTGTTACACACACACACACCGGCTCCTGAAGACGGAGGCAAAGCCAACGAGTGGGAACAGCTGGCAGGTGACCTGCAGCCACGTCACTGTCCCCTCACATCAGTCCTAAATGTTGGGCTTTTAACGTGTACGTGTGGTTTTGTGACTCTGGGTTCAGTCTGGCTGGATCCTGCTAAGCTGCTGCTTGGCTTTCCATGGGACTGGAGTGCTAAATGCCTTTGGGCTCCTGAGAGTCTGTCCCCGGACATTTAAAATAAGCAACTCAAGTTGACGTTTGTCTTGTGCCTCCTCCATGGAGGTAGATGGGAGCAGGACTGCGGCGCTGGAGGAAGCTGCTGGGCAGCCAATAATCCTGCGCTTCATTCACTTCTAGATTATTGGATGTGGGAAATGGCTCCTGGAGAGGAGGTAAAACCACTCGTGAGTGTACCCAGGTGATCCCTGCGAGCTCTGGGAGAGGAGCACCAGAGCTGTGGGTCTCCGGTCCCAGAGAGGTGGCCAGCACCAGGTGGGGCAGGGACAACCCCCACCTCCCCTCCCGGCGGCTCTCAGCACGTTGCCCCTCAGCACGGCTGTCCTCGGGGCTCTCTTACGCTCTGAAAAAGTTCAGGTCCTCATCCGCTCTTGTGTTGCACCGTCCCTTTCTGTTCTAGCGAAGGGCTGACGGTGGCTTCCCCTGCGGGCGGGAGCGATGCTTTCCCCTCTCGGTGGCTGCTGTCAGGGACCGGCTGAATGAACCTATGTCTGACGGTCTGGAAAAAGGACAAAATTTCACTGATATTCTCAGCCACGGGCTTATCTAACTCGGTGTGCTAGGGGATTATTTCTGTGGGAAGACGTGGCTCTGAGGATGTGCTTTTATGCTGTTTGCTGCGAGGGCCCGGCAACAAGTCTGTTTGGCAAGGTGATGCCATCTGTGTGAAACCCCATCCTGAAGCTAAAGAAGTGTGTGGCTCTGGAGAAGGGCCAAGGAAGTCTTT